CATGCCACGCCGCACTGATGCAGTAATTAAAGCAAAAGGAGCCCCTACCAAGTATTGAGTACATGTACAGTAAATGAACATACTTTCCAGAAGGCCAACAATTCACTAAAAATGTTTTTTTTATTGGTCTTCTGAAGTATTCTAATTTGTTGAGATGAATTGGTGGGTTTTTGTTAAATGTGAGCCAAAATCATCACAATTAAAAGAACCAAAGACTTAAACTACTTCAGTCTGTGTGCAATGAATTTATTTAATACACAAGTTTCACAATTTGAGTTGAATTACTGAAATAAATGAACTTTTCCACGACATTCTAATTTATTGAGATGCACCTGTAGTATGGCAGTATTCGATTTCGGATGCAGCGTAAGTCACTAACTGTTTAGACAGAAGAATGATTAGTAACTTCAGTTCCATTTCCTGATTCTCTGTTTCTCTGTGTGTCCCACAGTCAGCTCTTCCACCACAGTAACTTCAGCAGCAGTCAGGGCAGTACAGAGGACCTGTTCAGAGACAGCATCGACTCCTGTGACATTGACATCACTGAGAAGGTCCTGGAAGCATAGTAATGTGGTCACTGAGGACCCTGTTAATTGCTTAGGCTTAATGCGTAAAATTCAAATGTTTTGGATATACTTTTTAAGGCCACTACAATAATGTTGTTTTCCTGTAAATATGATTCAGAGAATGTTGCCTATAATAAATGACTATAATATTTAGCTCTTCTGTATTTCTACTGCAGGTGAGTTATTTGGAAAAGAAGATAACAGAGCTTGAGAACGACAGTCTGGCTAATGGAGATTTGAAATCCAAACTTAAACAGGAAAACACACAACTAGTTCACAGGTAAAGATATCTGACTATTAGTTACAGACACCGTACAGTATAAAGAGCATAGTGATAAATCTAATGTAATTATGTACATGGATGATTTATCGTTTATTACTTTATTTGTAATTCTACTACCATTCAAAAGTTTGGGGTCAATAAGACTTTTTTGAAAAGAAAGTCATGCTTTTATTCAGCGAGAATCAATTAAGTTGATTTAGAATTACAGTAAAGACATTTAGAATGTTACAAAAGTAATAAATGCTGTTTTTTAGAATGTTCAATTTATCAATCCTGATAACACTTCAGTTTCCACAAAAATATTAAGCAACACAACTGTTTTCAACATTAATAATAATATTATTATTAATAAATGTTTCTTGAGTAGCAAATCAGCATATTAGAAAGATTTCTGAAGGTTCATGTGACACTGAAGTAATGGCTGCTAAAAAACAATTCAGCTTTGCATCACAGGAATAAATTACATTTAATTTATTAGTTATTTTAAATTGTAATGATATTTCACAGTATTAATGTTTATACTCTATTAATCCTTTGTCACATAAATGCAGCCTTGGTGATGTATGCATATGTATTATATGTTTTCTTATGTCTGTATGTGTTTGTACATGTTTATCCGTCAGGGTACATGAGCTGGAGGAGCAGATCAAAGATCAGGAGACACGTGCAGAGCAATGTTTAGAGGAGGAGCTGAAGAGACACAGAGAGGCCTACAGTAAGATGGAGAGAGACAAGAGTACTGAGATTGAAATGCTTAGTAACAGGTACCTAATCAGAAAACTCACAAAAAACATGTATATGAAGCATGTGGAAGTTTCAAGACCTTTTTAGATGGGCAGTGTGTGGCTTGCTACTTTATAATGGATGATTTCTCCCCACAGGGTCCAACAGCTAGAAGAGGAGAATGCAGAGATGAAAGTGAATGTGTGCAGACTCAAGTCTCAAACTGAGAAACTGGACCAGGTCAGATATGCATCGAATCTCTAGCTAGTAGAGTAGAAATCCCTTGACCATAACCACAACCACATAACCCACATCACACATCAGACTATGCATCAAATGGTTGGTTTAACAATTCAAATATAGCAATTTCTTGCTCTCTTGCACTTAAACCCTCGCTGACACACGTTCACGCACCCATTTTCACACTATTACTTCTGACCTCACTGAAGCATCTTTTGACACATTTCAGCAGGCAGTGAAATCCTTGGAGCTTGTCAGTGTTAACAGCACACTCTTTCATACTGCTTGCATTAGCTAGTGTAATGAGTGTGAAAGCTCCTGCCTGCATGACATTAGCAGCCCGTGAGGCTTTGATCTCTGAGATGGAATGAAACATTGTCGAGCAACTGCATGGCTTTCTATGCTGTAGCCTTTCCATAAAGCTAAAAAACTAGGTCATTGTCTGATTTAGCTAAAAAAATGTAAAGGTCCTCTTGTGGACTAGGCTGAAAATGCATTTTATTTTTCATTTCAAATCAGCTAAAGAAGCTACATTTATGGTGAAATTGTTGTCAGATTTTATTGCTGATTTGAAATGCAGTGAAACATTAAATACAAAGTTGACACAAGGTTTTCAAAGTTTTTTCAAGTGGATGAGACTGAGAGTCGTACTTGTAAGTCTATTGCCTACTTAAAAAAAACAGCTGCATTGGGGTCCAAAATGGCTGCCAAGTGAACTGACTTGTGTTAAAGGGATTTTTATATTTATTGGTATAGTGGTTTTAATATACACATTGTTTCAAAGCAGCTTTTCAAGAAATAATGATGTTATGTCTAAAATGCCTTAAATTGGTACCCCACCCAAAAAATAATTTACCATTTACTCACCTTCATGCCATCCTAGATTATTTAACTGTCTTTCTTCTGTGGAACACAAAATCCATACACTCAGTAATAGAGGTATGAAAACTGTGGTTTTTGAAGCAACAACTTTGAGGGTCCCATTCACTTGCATTATATGGACTATTTTTCTAAAAATCATTGTTTGTGTTTCATTAAAAAAAGTCAATATACATTTGGGATGACGTGGGTGAGTAGATGATGAGAGAATATTAATGCTTTAATGGCAATATAAAGATCTATGTATATTGTATGTATAATTTTGTGCACAGGAGAAGCAACGTATGACAGATAAACTGGAAGACACAAGCCTGCGTTTGAAGGATGAGATGGATCTGTACAGGAAAATTATGGATAAACTTTGGCAGAACAGACATGAGTTTCAGAAGGAGCGAGAGGCCATGCAAGAGGTAGCACAGTGTCGTTTTTATTGCAGATTACAATTATACACATAAACATAAATCTCAAGACCTCTCACACAATTTACATGTGCATGTAGCTGATTGAGGACCTGCGGCGTGAACTGGAGCACCTCCAGCTCTTTAAACTGGAGGCTGAGAAGCCCGGCCGTGGCCGTAACACCGCGGGACTGTCCGAGTACAACGCCAAGACTCGAGAGATTGAACTGGAGCATGAAGTGAAACGGCTTAAGCAGGTACAGTGCAAAGATATATTAAAATAAATATATGAAATAATTATAATTAAAATAATTATAATTAATTACATTAAATACAATTACATTCCACAATTCTAGGCATTTCAAGAACTTATAAAAATATCAGGGTTCACACTTTTTATGACTAGTGAATTAACATAATTCCAGTCTTTTGTAATTATGAGATTAAATGTTTAAAATCACAAATAGCAATTTGAAAATTATATATATTTTTTATCTTCTGTGACTTTTCCAGGTCTGGAAATCACACTTTTAAAATTCCCTTATACACCGTAAGCTGGTTTCCCAAGGCCATGGGAATGCTGGTTCCTAAGAAAAATGAGAGTTGATTCAAATATAAAATATACCTTGATTTTAGCTTATTTTAAACCTTGTCTTGTTTTAAATCACATCAAGCCATTTTGTGGCTCGCTTGGAAGTGTGCTGAGGCCCCCTAGTGAGAACCACTGCTATATCCAGGTGTGAAAAACTTGTTGCCTCTTTCCCAAAAAGACTCATGGCTGTATTAGATCAAAAGGGTGCTTCTACTAAATACTGAGCAAAGGGTCTGAATACTTAGGACCATGTGATATTTCAGTTTTTCTTTTTTAATAAATCTGCAAAAATGTCAACAATTCTGTGTTTTTCTGTCAATATGGGGTGCTGTGTGTACATTAATGAGGAAAAAAAATTAACTTAAATTATTTTAGCAAGTGGCTGCAATATAACAAAGCGTGAAAAATTTAAAGGGGTCTGAATACTTTCCGTACCCACTGTATATATACTGTATATATATATATATATATGTGTATATATAATGTGTATATGTATACTGTTTACCTCCTTGCATTCAGTATGATTTGCACACTGATGTGTTTAATCTTCTAACAGGAAAACCATAAACTCCGAGACCAGAACGATGATCTGAATGGACAGATTCTCAGCCTCAGCCTTTACGAGGCCAAAAACCTGTTCGCATGTCACACCAAGGCCCAGTCACTGGCAGCAGAGATAGACAATGCCTCCAGAGATGAGGTGAGAACAACACTGAGGGATTGCTTATTAGTCCCCACCCCCTGTGCATTATGGTATGGGTATTGTCGTTTTACTACCTTATTGGCAAAAGAGAAGCCACAGCCCTATTTCTCCATTTTCTCTAGTCATATAGTACTGACTTCAGAAAATCAATTCGCCTTTCTACTGCGTAGACAGCCACGTTTTTTTTAAAGAATAAAAGTTTTTATTAAAAGAATTACTGTTTTAGGTAGCCTACAAATCAGGAGCAGAAAGGGGCGTTTAATTCCCGCCCACATGTAGAAATCGAATATTCAAGCTGTTTATTAATTTTTTCCACCCATTAACGAAAAACGATTTAAGCTGAATTCTCATTTTTCGTTTTTTGAGAAAAAAACAAATCAAATTTTTCTACTTTCAATATTAAATCAAAAAACAAATGATCGAATGATACACGGATTCTACAATTGACCACTGAATGACTCTGAACCTTAATATGTGTTTTTATATGTTCTTTTGGCATTTTGCATTTACATTAAGAACATTAGAAGATGTTCTAATCTAGAGAAACTTACAAAATGTCCTTTAGCTTTACATGAAAGGCTGTCACTCATTTGGTCAATCTCTCCATCTTTCCAGCTGGTTGAAGCTTTGAAAGAACAAGAGGAGATCAACTTCCGTTTAAGGCAGTACATGGACAAGATCATCCTGGCTATCCTCGATCACAACCCCTCCATTTTAGAGATCAAGCATTAGGCTCCTGAGAGTGGATAGAGGACTCACAGTCGGCAGAGAGCTCCCCCTTCAGGCCAGGGGTGTGAAATGCACCACCTCTGCCCCCTTACACCAAGTCATCATGTATTTACAGAGCAAGTTGCTGTCGAAATGATCGTGTCTCTCATGTGCTCCGTCTCACACACGTGGGTCACGGTTTCCGTCACTACTCATGTCATCACGCTGTAGAAATGACAAAAACATGTGATGAAACTGGAATCTAGAGTAGAAGTGTACTTTTCACTCTCAGTTATATACACTCTACCTCTGAGTATGTACAACTCAGTGTTGTATTCTACACATTAACTAAACAAGTAGAATTATATTAAATATCACACGATCACACCATATAGGAGAGCTATACGTGCACCCTATGGCATGTGGGGTTTATTAACATTATTTGAGCATTTAATCAGCCCTCAAGAATTTCTTTATAAAGTGCTGTTTGTCTATGACGTCTTAACAATCCAGCACTGAATCAATGGACAGAGCAATAGGAAGCCATACTGTAATAATCAGCAGAAAAGGGAATTTCTTTTGAATGTTCTCTGCCAACATACATTGTGGTCTGCTGTTGAAACAATAATAAAATCATGTCAGTCCATCCCAAGATGCACTGCTGTTAATGGCTGACGCTTCTAACTAACGGGTCTGTACTGACCATCAGCATCCTTTGACTGAGGGGTCACATGTAGAGAAGCACAAGTGAACTATGTGCGTACAGACCACACAGTTATACAATATAGTATATACGTATAGAAATAAAACTCTATTGAAAATGTGAAAAAGAAAGGTTTATTTTTCTTAGATGTTCGGATGAAATGGTCCGCTGAAGTTTAAGGAAGAGGTGGATGTTATACATAATGAGTGAGAGGTAAATGATTATGATATAATGAAGTCTTCTTGTTTAACAAGAACTACAAAAGCCACAAAATTGTGGACATAGTACAGTCTGGTTAAAACATTAAGATCATGGTCAATGTCTGTACTAGAACAATGCATTGTCTAAATTCAAACATATGCAAATCCATATATAAAAAAGTTTATATACATATATATATACACTACTGTTAAAATGTTTGGGGTCAATAAGATTTATTTTTAACAAATGTATTCAGCAAGGATGCATTAAATAGATCAATAGTGACAGTAAAGACATTTATGTTACAAATGTTTGATTTCAAATAAATTCTGCTTTTTAAACATTCTATTCATCAAGAATCCACAAAATATTAAGAAATGTTCCTTGAGAAGAAAAGTAGAATGATTTCTGAAGAATCATGTGACACTGAAGACTGAAAACTGTGTTTTTGAACAAATAAAATGCAGCCTTGGTGAGTAAAAGAGATTTGTTTTAAAAATATAAAATCTTACTGATCTTAAACTTCATTTGTTTTGGTCTTGGTCACTTGGGCGATATTGTACATCAGAGCCATGGGTAAAGGAAGCTGCACATTTAATAAAAGTGCTTGAACTGTACATCCCATGAATCACCATGCCACAGTATTCTGTATTCCCATATTACCATTTTCCAGATTTAGCTAGTCAGCTACTATGTGGATCAGTATTTTAAATTCTTGTGTAGTTTGGGAAAGGAGCCAATACTGCTACATGCTCGATTGTCACAAACTAGTTTTGCTTTGTTGCACAAATTGTACTGAATCTGTTTCTTTGCATGGTCTTAATCTCTTTCTGTTTGTGCCCTTTATTTGGAATGTAACAATTAATGTTTTGGTTGTTTCAGTAACTGTTATTCTGATCGGTTATTGAGGAACTTTTATATCTTTCCGTTCTCTTTGTGTTGTAGCATTTTTCTCTCATTGTAAATGTTGTACAGAAACTAGTTAATATTTGTATTGATATGCCACTCATCAACCTTAATGAATAAAGGAAAGGCTGTCTTTTATACAGTTTTATGCGAAATGACAAGTTAGACATGCAACTAAGTAATGTATAAATCATTTGTGACTGTTGAAATGAAATGACATCAGTGCTGATGTCACAGACAAGACTAGTTCTTCATTATCAATCGAAAGAAAGGAAATTTGATTTTGAGCAGTCGGTTCTGAGGAAACACCTATATTAAAACCTTAATGTTTCATATCATCTTTGTTTAACATTTGGATGACCAAACCCTGACCCATTCACAGCAACAATGTCATTTTTGCACACTTTAAGTGTTGTGCTGTGTCTGTGTCCACTGTTACAGGTTAGACGTAACACAGTTTGACATTTGTCTGTGGGTCATGGTTTACAAAACTGTTTTTTTTGTTGTTTTTTAATGCCTTTTTTGTTGTTATAGAAAAAGATGGACATTTCTTTTGTCCAGTGTGTGGGTATGTAACTAGATTACTATTACTCATTTATATTTACACAAGTAGAAAAGGACAAATGAAAAAGCTTTCAGAAAATTCAATAATAGTTTAAAAGCCTCAAGAGTTATGACAAATTTGAAATGTACAATAAATGACTTGTTTTGGCATGATTTAAAATGACAAGAGTATTGAATTCTTTGTCTCCTCCATCAGTTTTTCACACATGAACAGATCGATTTTAATTTGGAAACAACTTTGTTGCTTCAGTATGCACAAAGTGTAACTATGTCTTCATCTAGTGGACAAAGCCTGCATCATCAGGAGGCCATGATAGTAAGATGTAAGAACATCATTTAAAAAATGTACAATTCTGTGGATTAACAACAATTGATATTGTTATGCAATGGAATATCAACAATTGTGAAAATCTTAAAATCTTTCATTTTTGAGGATGGTGACTCTTGGAGCAATTAATGAAATATAAAAAATGGTTTAGTATTTTATAACAGGATGGACTTGTGTCAAACCTCTTCAAAGTGATCAAAAGGAATTAGTACTCTACACAACACTCTTAAAAATAAAGTTGCTTTTGTGGCAATGATAGCTCCATGAAGAACCTTTAACATCCAAGGTACCTGTCCATTGCACAAAAGTTTCCTTAAAGTGGAAAAGGTTTCTTTAGATCTTAATGTTCATAACACATAACGGTTCTTTTAAGTTTGCTGTTCACTGAAATGTCTATCACATCTATCACATCACTACAAATATTCCGATTTGGAACCTTTATTTTTGACAGTATAGCTGAATCCTATTTGAAAAGCAGGAATTTTGTATTTTCTTATCCACTCATAATCTTTAAGTGGCACTTATTGTACCTATGAGATGTAACAGTAATTTGCGACAGTGTACCATTCTAAAACCGCGCTAAATTTGGATTCCTCAAAATGTTGTGAAGTCTACAGAAGATGTAAAAAAGACAGGAATACGACCAACCACAATATCATGTTTATTTTAAATATAACTTCCCTAAAATAAGTGAATAAGTAGTTCAGTTCAGGTGGGAAAGTTACACACTTGTCTGGAGATTCTGGGAATAACAAGGATGTCTGGTTGTTCTCATCTGCAGATCTTTCAGCTTTCATTCACAATGCAGGTATTTTTTAATAGGCGATTACATGAAATGTAAGCACAATATTATTGATTGGAGGGCTAAGATCTTTTATAACTTTTATCGAATCTAGTTTACACGAGCATTCTTTAACGTCCTCTTGAATAATCCACCAGGGGGTGCTACGGAGTTTTCTAAACAATACTATTGAATTGAAACCAATGATCTGAGGTGCTTTTTTTATTTCTATGACTGAAACAGAGAAATATTCACAACAACTCAACAAACGACGATTAGCTTCAGTTACCATTTGGTAATTTTTTTTAGTTAAAGGGCAATGCTGTTTTCCAACATCTCAATGTGTGTTCATGCCACAGACCCTCAGAGAGCTATCATGGGCCTTTAATTGGAACAGATAATAGTCACATGACAAACTCACATGTAGCCTGCACAAGTCTCATGATATCTGCACTTCACTTGGCATTCCCAGCATAAAGTATTTGTATTTGAGTAATATCCTCATTCTTGACATTGCTGAGGCTCTGATAAGCCAGTCACCTCCCGCACAATTCTCATTAGACACATCCAACAGGAATGTGCTCTTCAAGAATGACTTACATGTGTTTTATCACAGCTGTCCAAACAAAAAGCCTCCCAGACCCTCTCCTGTATTCACTAAATGCCTCTTTTGTCTCAGGTTTTGGGGGTTTTAAAGGGATATATTTAGAAAGCGAGGACTGAAATGGTTGCATAGCTAGAAGATGATGGGTTGTTGCCATGAGGGGGTAAAACAACATCATTTCTTGTTATTATCAATGTTGAAAACAGTTGTGCTGCTTATTGTGGAAACCATGATAATTTTTTTTACAGGATACTTTGATTTAAAAAAAAGTTCAAAAGAACAGAATTGATTTGAAATAGGAATCTTTTGTAACTTACAGACGTTGCTGCCACTTTTGATCAAATTAATGCACCCTTGCTGAAACTATGTCTCTATATATTTGAGAGTGAACTGAATATTACAAAAAAAAAAGAATGAGCCTTTTATTCTTTTATCCTGTTACTTCCAGGACTGAGCCAAACTGAGTAGTAAATTGTGAAAGTAGCTTTTTGACTATTGTTTAACATTAGCCTGTGTGGTCCAATGTGATCTCAACAGAAAAAAAATTATATATATATATATATATATATATATATATTCTTTTTTTTTAATCAAAGATTATGACAATTTTTTCTTAGCAAGAGCATGCAACAATAAAATGCTCACAATGAGCATGCTTTACGGAAGTAAATAGGGTAAATTTTGAAGTCGACTTTAAGCTATTAGCCCAATATGTTTTAAATGGCCTGTCAATGTTGCTCTAGCCCACAGCTGTTTCACTCCCACAGCAGACCTGTGTGTGCTACATTACCTCTCTGCTAGGGGAATGTAGCGCTTTATTTGGGCCAGGTGCGGCTGCTCCTCATGATTGAGCACTGCAAGGTGTGAATGACCTTCTTCTCACAAGAGCAGGGAGGACGTAAATGAGGAACCCAACGTACAGGGGTCTGTCCCACTTTCAGGCTTTTCTCGGATCTCCTTTTAGGATGGGCCGTCTTGGACTTTAGCCAGAGACTTCGAAACACAGCTGAGAGTTACTTTATAGTCTGCTGGGATAGATAAACAGCACTGACCTGATCCAACACTCATAAAGCACGTTAGCGTGGAAAGTTAATCAGATCCGTAAGATCAGATAAGGTCTGTTTAGACTCTAGAAAATTATCCAAGATCAGATCTATAGTCTGATTTTTTTCCTGTTTTGTTTTGTCAGTAACAAGCTGTTTTCCTATTTTTCTATACAGCCGATACAGTTTTATGACTTGCCAGATGAATGGGTTTTTAATTCTGATGCGTAGCTTTAAAGGGGTAGCTCACCCAAAAAAACATTTCTGTCATCATTTACTCACCTACGTCAGTCCAAATAGTGTTACGCCTTACATTAGTTTTCATATTTTTTATGTTTTTTTAAACTTATTTTTTACTATTATTTTAAAAATGTGTTTAATATATATATATATATTTTTTTTTTGTTGTTGTTATTTTAGTACATGAAAAGAAACTAAATAAAAATGAGAAATTTTGTGAAAAATAAAATAAGTTTAAGTATTTTAACGCTATGGCCAACTATAGCCAGGCTGGAAGACCAGCTAAAACCAGCCAACCAGGTTAGACTGATTTTAGCTGTTTTGTTTTTCAGCAGGGAGGGATAGTTTCAGTTTACGATAATAACTTGATCCAAACCAGTATGACTTTCATTCTACGTCTTCTTTTCCAAATGAATGAATGAATGAATGTTTTGTCAGTTTGGAACAACATGAGGGGTGAACTATCCCTTTAAGTCCCTGTTGTCCATACTGAGTGCTTTTCTCACAGGGTGCTGTTAAGGGGACTCACAAACCTCCTCGCCAGAAAATTGATTACCTGCGTGTTAATTGCTGCTCTCTATGTGAAGTCTGCCCTCTGGCCATAAAAAGATCACCATTCTCCCATACATCCAACGGGCCATCTTCACTCGGGTCTTTTGAGGGAAATTGTCTTAAGGAAAAATCAATCTGAAGGCCTCCCACGTAGTCAGACTGCTAATAGGAGGACAAAAGATGCACTTTAAGATAA